ACCCCAACAACAACAACAACAAAAAAAACCTTAAAGGAATATACAGGGGTCAAAGTAACAAAAGTTTAGTAATCACAGACATGGCTCTGTGAGAGCTGGATATAATCAGGAAAATGTAAAGCTTAGTTTAATGAGTTTCAGTTATTTTGTAGCATAAAAGTACACTCAGATCAGACTAATTGATCTCCAATTGGGCTTAAAGCTTTCACAAAATCTGATTTCCCCTCTCAGTTTTTCAGGTTCAGCACAGTTACACCATTAGAAAAGCTAGTGTTCGTTACAGCAGTTTTATGTGCATTGGTTAATGCTGATTTTTCTACTTTTGTGTTTTTTTTTTTTCACTAACCACAAACAAAATCCTTCATGGCTGCCTGGCACATAGAAAGAAATGATGGCTGCAGTAATTAAAAGTTTATTTAAACTGCAGTTAAATCAGCTGCACAAAGTGTACTGTAAAACATCTTTTAGTGAATATATTTTTTAAATGGTAAATGGATTGTACTCATATAGCTCCTTTCTATCTTGTCAAGATACTCAAAGCTTTTTACACAACCTGTGCCCTCATTTACCCATTCATACAGCACTCTACTAGAGCTATACAAAGAATAATCAGTGCTTTATCACATTCATACACTGATGGGACACACATTGGAGGCAATGAGGGGTTCAGTGTCTTGCCCAGGGACACTTCAGCATGTGACTGATGGTGGAATCGAACCCCCAACTCTTGCATTGGAGGAAACTGCTCTAACCACTCAGCCACAGTCACCTTATTTATGCATTTTACAGTGTTCAAATGCATAACATGCAGAGTAAAACATGCTTATGAACTGCATGACTAACAGTAGTTAGCCTGGTTACTGAGCTTCAACAATTTCACCAGTTTTCCGAATTGTAATAAAATGTCATTCACAAATATGAATTCTGACTTATCAGGTAAATAGTTGGCAGCAAAAATGTTAATCACAGCATCTCAGATATCTGAGGTAAAGATAGTCTCTAATGAGGAAATGCTGCCCCCTTGTTTTGCATTATGAAGGTTTAAAATGTGCTAAATTGTGTCATAAATACCAGAAAAACATGGACTCCCAATGAGGCATTTCAGATAAGATTTTGTAACCTGGTGAAGAAAAGTAAAAACCATTGAAATATCATAAAAACTCTTTATGACTTACATGGGATGTCCATGTTCTCATTGCTGACTGGTTCCAGATTCCACCGCATGTGTTTGCTGCCTTGCAGATCCTGAGTATTGTTCAACACAGAACTGCTTTCCTCTTTCACCAGAACACTTCTTATATCTTGATGATGTTCTGGTTGGACACAGGGACTCTGTATATTCTGACAGGATGATGTAACCTGCAGAGGATTTGAGTTGTTTTCTTCAACCTTGATCTCTGGGCCTCCAAGAAACTGCACCTCATTTTCAGCGGTGCCGCCCAAAATCTGAAACAAAAGGAAACATTTAGATACTACAGTCCTTCACTTACCGCAAGGATTATGTTCAAGACACCCCCGCAATAGGTGAAAATCCGTGAAGTAGGGGCGTTATATTTATTTTAGTATTGATATATATTTTAAGACTTTATAAACCCTTCCCACACTCTTGCAATGTTCTTAACAATGTTCTCTAAAAGAGCACAGCAAAAGAGAGCAGACAGACTGATGCTACGGTTACTGAGCCCCAGGGGAGGGCTGGACATCGAGGTTCGGTTTGCGCTTGATTATGTTAAATAAACAATCCATGCCGCTTGTGCAGCACACTCAGATACAAGACAGATCCCCCCCCACCCCCCCTCCTTTCTTTTTCCGAGGATGTCTGTTGCACGCCCGCCTGTTGTGTCTCTCTGGGACATGATGGGGAAAGACAGACTCCACCTCGCCTTTCTCCTTCTCTACTGTGACAGACAGCCTCAGAAAGAGAAAGGAGGAGGCACAGATGAACAATGTAGAAAATCTGAAAAAATGCTTAGGTGGAAAAATAAGAATATATCAGTTTTAGAAAAGAGAGTGGCTGAGTGCAGCTCACGCAGACATAAGACAGACGCATCCTTTCTCTTTCTGAGGCTGTCTCACAGCAGAGAAAAAGAAAGGAGGGGTGGGGTCTGTCTTTCCCCATCGCTTCTGCTGTGACAGACAGCCTCAGAAAGGGGGGGGGGGTGTCTGTCTTTCCCCATCTCCAATCGTGTGTCATGTACAATATGTTGAAAACCCACGAAAAAGTTAGTTTGCGAAAGTCGAACCGTGAATTATCAAGGGACTACTCTATTACCAATATCAAATTCAGTGTTAACTGTTCTTTTATTTAAAATGATACAAGCAACATATCACCTGTTTTTGGTGGCTCCTTTCAGTTTCCATGTCTGCAGTTGCTCTTTGTCTTGATGTCAGGAACCTCTCCAGGATGTTTCCTGGAGACTGGTCATTCTCCCTATTGCTTTCTTCTCCTCCCTGCATATCCCCTCCATTCATCACTTCTTCAACACTTGAGCTAAGACACTCCAGCTCAAGCACAACTGGTTTTTCGGGGGATTTTTCCAACATAGCAGGAATGGAATGCAAAGAGGCAACAGGAGGATTGGTTTTCATGGCCATAAGTTCATTGCTGGTCTGGGGTTTTGAGCCAGTCACATGATTAACCATTTCTACATCTGAGATAAGATTATGTTTTTCATAAACTACCTGGCATTCATCCTGTTCATGCTCCAATTCCATTCTTTTGTGAATATCTCCAACTGATATGTCATCCCTTTCTTGAGGACTTGTTTCTCTTGTGGCATTCCTCATAACAACTCTCTTCTCTACTTCTTTTCTCTTCTGGACTAGTGTTTCTTCATCCTCTTCTTTGACCTCCATTTCATGAGTGGAACATGACACAGTTTGAGAAGTCAGACTTTTTTCTGGCGTTGCATTACCAACTTGCTCAGGGTGTTTTTCTGTACCTGCACTATCAGAATTGCAGCCTTCAGTGGATTCATTTTGGTCAATGCTGTTGGCATGCAAAACTGAATCATCTGTTCCACACTGCTCACCAACAGTGACTAAATTTACTAGAAGTAAATCCTCCTTAATGTCCTCCTCTGTGTTACCCTGACCTTCAGATTCAAAGCTAGGATTCTTAGTGGCATCTTCTCGCTCTTGTTTGTCTTCACCTGATGCCAAAGGTTCTGTTTCAGAACTCTTTGTCTGCAAAGAGGCAAAAAGAGCAGATTCAGGTGTGAAAGTTGGTGGAGTCTCCCTACATTTTATTTCATCAGATGGTGACTGGACATCTAGAGAGGGATGTGATTGCTCATTTTCCACCATTTTATTTCCATCCTTATCTTCATAAGTACTCATTTCAACATATTGAGGAGGGACCGGTAAAGATGGAGATGGGATTAAAGCTGGAAAGGAGACACTTCGTTCTCTGTCTTCTAATGTCATTTCAGGTTCAGTATCCCATTCTGTGGGAGATGTCATTGCCCTAATAACCTTACTGTGTTCTTTTGGAAGTTGGAAGAGATCTAATCTGGAGACACCCTCAAAGACGTTTCCATTGGTGTATGTGAGAATAGGACTCTCAACAATATGTGCAGTCATCTTATGTTTTTGAAAGGATGCGACTTCATTAAATTTCTCTCCACAATTCTTACACTCTAAGGGTTGTTTCGAAGTTATCACTCCTTCAGTCTCCACATTTGAGGATGCTTTACGTTTCCTGGTGGCCCTTGGCTTGGTGGTTACCATCTCAGGTGGTTGATGGGAAACATTTAATGTTGACAACAGGGAAAGAGCCTTCTGGTTCTTCTTGGCTCTTGCTCCTTTTTTCTTACCATCTGCAGTCAAACTACCTGCGGACTTACGTGTACGAGACATTGCTCGGGAGTCATTAGGTGATGTCTCCGGAGTCTGACCTGATGCCTTTGAAGGGTCTAACTTGTAGACTTTCAGCTGGGGCTGTTTATGACCTTTTAGTAAAAGTAAAGAGTCTTGAACTATGTGTGAACCAGGTTCTTCTGCTTTTTCAGCTTGATCTTTTGCAATTTTTTTCTTTCCTTTTCCAGTCTTTGCACTCTTAGGTTGATCTTTCTGCAATATCTTGGCTTGTTTTTTCTTTTTAAACATAGGTGGCGGCATAGTTTTGTTTTCACTTGAGTGCACTACTCCTTTGGCTACTTTTTGCTTTTTAATTTTATTCTTACTTGTATCTTTGATTTGTTGCAACTGCGGAGTCTGTGTTGTTGAAGGCGATTTTACGTCACTTCCTGATAACACATTCTTTCCTGGCTTCTCCTTTTTCCCTTTTCCTCTCTTTGTGGGTGTTTGTACTTTTTTCTCTGAGAGTTTTTTTGGTGGGGTTTTACTTTTTATCAAGTCTTCCTGTACTGGCTGATGCTGTTGTGTTTGGTTCTTCGGTTTCTTGCTTTTCTTGTCTTTGTTTTGTGGACCAAATTTCACAAGATGAGACTTTTTTGTTCTTTGGCGCTTGGCTGGTTTGGCATCGAATTGAAAATCCATCAGATCATGCATATATCCTTGGAAAAAAAATGTCCTGGCTGGCTTTCTTTTGCGTACTTTGACTAACTCTTGAGCGGACATTACATTTACAGCAAATTCTGAGGTCTGTGTAGTCTGTAATTGTGAGTGGGCTTCTTCTTTAGTTGATGGATCCTTTACTTGAGATGGGCTATTCTTGCCTTCCATCTGCAATTTTTTAGAAAGATCCTGATTAGCCTGAACATGTTTGTTTTTTCTCATGTCAGACACCTGATCTAGACCCACTTTTCTCATCTCTGAATCTTTAGAACAAGTTTTAGATTTACTTGGAGCTTGTGTGTCTGATGGAGCAAATGAGATCGAAGAAATGTCCTGTTGCTCCGTGGGCATAGGTGGTTGAACTGGCATGCTTTTTTGCTCATTTATTGTAGTCTGATCAGGGATCTTCTGGTCAGTGCTGAGCACCATAGAAGAGGAAGTGACTTCATTTAGTGGTTCAGTTTGGGTTGGGTTCAGCTCCATACCTGGCATCAAAATAGGTGTCAGTTCTAATATGACTGTTTGCTCATCATTTTCTTTGAAAGCATCCACCTCATTCTGACAAACCATAGGATGAAAGTGAGTTTCCATATTCTCTGATTGTTGAAGGATCTGAGGCATCACGTCACCCTCAGGTCTTTCTGTTTGTCCAGCCTCAGTGAATGTTAGTTCTATGTGTCCACCTGCTGCAACATGGGACTCGAAGTCTGAGAAGGAGGGGTTTTCAAGTTGTCCATCTGGAGTAATGGGTTCCAGTATAATTGTTTGCTCCATTGGGTCGATTGAAGGATCCAGTTCAGCAGTCGTAGTCTCGGTTTGTTTCAGTCCTACAAAATCTATCTGTGGTGGACTGAGATTCAAATTCACCAGCTCTGTTGGTTCTGACACCTGCTGCTGCAGTTCCAGTGGGGGTGCATGAGGAGGCACCTGCCCCAATATAACAACTTGATTCACTTTCTGCACATTTCCCAATGATTCGATAAGTTTGCAAAGCTGCTCTGTGTCGATATTGGCGTCCACTTTTTGAAGAGGTCCATGAGGCTCTACTTGTAAGAGTGAGGGTTGAGAAACAGATATCGGAGTTATGATGGCTGCATTTTGTTTTGACTGCGACCTAGCTGGGGGAGTAATACTGGCTGCTGCAAGTTTGTGCTTAGTTTTCATGTGATGTTGCCGTGTTTTTGGAGTCTTGAAAGTAGCCTTGCAGATAGAACAAGGATACTTTGTTGTAGAAGCACCTGAAAATAAGAAAAATAGAGAGGTGATGATGTTTTTGTAAGCGGACGTACAAAAAACGTTTTATTTGCTCAAAAAATGAAGACTAAAATTCTAGATCTACATGATAAGTTTTGTGATGCTGCATTTTTTTAAGTACCGTATTTTTCACTGTATAAGTCGCGGTTTTGCACATAATTTGCATGCCTTGCGACTTATACGCCGTAGCGACTTATTTATGGATTTTTTTCCCCATATTTATAAATTAATTTTTGACTGATATATGACTGTTTGTATTCATTCTGACTGAAAATATTGAACACTACCATTTTCAGCCACTAGATGGGAGTTAAGCAGTATGGCATGCCATTGTATCATGTAACATGTAAAAGTGGCTATTAATGACACAATCGGCTTGCCACAGTCTGCCACATTCATCTGCCTGGAGCAAATGTCAAATCAGCTTCATTTCGCTGCGCCGCCCCGGCAAAATGCAACTAATTTGACCATTAAAGTGCATTTATTACATAAAAGTTCAACAGAGACACACATTTACTATAAAGTCGAGCTACCAAATAATTGTTAGGTGGATAATTGTTAGATGAGGCGGCTGTGGCTGAGTGGTTAGAGCAGTCGTCTTCCAATGCAAGAGTTGGGGGTTCGAATCCACCAGCAGTCACATGCCGAAGTGTCCCTGGGCAAGACACTGAACCCCTCATTGCCTCTGATGTGTGTCCCATCAGTGTATGAATGTGAAAATGCACTGATTAGTCGACGCGTCAGCAGTAATGCAAATAAAAGTGTCCACAGTAAATTATCAGCTCATAACAAAATTAAGCCAACTGAGTCTCAAAGAAATATGATTAAAATGAAAAGGAAAAAAAAATTATAGATGGAATAAAACATGTTAATGACCAATATTTTCCTTACCATCATTTTTCTTTCGTTTCGGTTTAACTGTGGTGTCCGCTTCATGTCCTTCAGCTCCTTCCGATAAATGTGACACCATGTGTTTCTGCAAAGCTTTGGACATGTTGAACCTCTTTCCACACTCCTTACAAATATATGGCCGGTCTCCCGTGTGCGTGCGCTGGTGATACTTTAACAGCGTCAGCGTTTTGCATGGCTTGCCGCATTCAGTGCAGGCATAACCATCTTCGCCAAAATGAATCTTTTTATGAGCTGTGAGTTCAGATGACTTCTTAAAAGCCTGCCCGCAGAGCGGACACTTGAAAGGTTTCTTCTCCGTGTGGGCCTTCTGATGGGCCATGAGCTCTATAGAGTTCGTAAAGTGGCGGTCGCAGACATAGCAGGCAAAAAGAGCATTTTTCAGAATGCGCTCTTCATATTCTGCAGGGTGGCTGAGTTTCAGGTGGCGCTCTTTGCTCTTGTTGTCACTGAAGATGATATGGCACTCTATGCATTGCAGGGAGAGCTCAGATGCTGCATTAAAATAAAACAAAGCAAAGAAAGTTAAACTGTAACAAGCAAACCTGTTCTCTGTATAGACAATTGTATGATCTAAAATATACTGAAAGATTTCCTGATGCATGCTCAATAATCCAGGTAGAAAAAGAATACTGAAAGATTAAAAATAAAAGTAAAATATCTGGCTGCTTCTGATTAAATCAGTTATTTAACAGGAGGAAAGAAGTTTAAGAAGGATGCAATGCTGTGTGCTATTTTCAAAGGATTTTTTTTTTTTTTTTTTTTTTAAACAGCTTGTATTAAAAAAATGTTACACATACAACACAGGAGCTCCTGAAAGGTAGAAGGATGTACTGCAATCTTCATAAGTGAGCTTAGTGCTTAAATTTAAATTATTTAACTAATGCAACACAGAACTGTTAAATGAAGCTTGGTTAAAACTGGAAGCAATGGTATAAAAATAATTATTTAAACAGATCTTAACTATTTATAAAAATGAGCTTTGATTATTTTGAATTTAAGGGTCAAGAGGAGCTTTGCACACACACAGATTACTCAAATTATTATTATCAGATTATTCAAAACCTGACGGAGAGTTACAAAGACGCATACATTTTTTTTCTGAAGTCAAGATTAGACGTTAAAGACGGTATGAATAAATAATTAAACAATTTATGAATAATGATTCTCAGTGTTAACAGCCCTCTCGTTTGGAAGTGGCCAGCCTGCAGTCCAGAACTGTCATCCAGTGTCAGAATAAGTTCAAACTGCTTATCAGCTGGACTGAGGACCACTCTTTCCAGGTGTGCAGTGGAGAGCATCCTGTGCTCCAGCATCAACGTGTGGCATGGAGGCAGCACAGCTGCAAGCCTTGCAGAGAGTGGTGAAGGCTGCACAGAAGACTGTTGGAGTCAGTCTTCCCACCATCACAGACATTTACGCCTCCAGATGCAGGAAGAGGGCCACCTGCATCATGAAGGACCCCACTCACCCAGCACCAGGGGTGGAAGGAATAAATTACAAATACTCACGTTACTATAATTAAGTAGATTTTTGGGGGGACTTGTACGTTCATGAGTATTTCTCATACTTAAGTACAATTTAGACCGTGTAATCTACTTCGCTACTTTTAAAATCAGAAGTTGCTACTGAGTACGGTTGCAATTTGAATTAATATTCAAACCGTTCATCTGCATCTTTTTAGCCAATAAGGCTCTCAGATCGTGAACGCACCAATTACCTATGACGTAAGCAAAGGACAACTCAGTAGAGAGTCGTTTAGAGTAACAGCCAAACGAAACTGGATAGACTCTGTTAACTTAGAAAACCAGCTCCTGCTGACACTGAACAAAAGGTTCAGAAAGTGAAGGGTGACAGACATGTCAGAGTTTAAGACACTTACCTGCCTGTTGTTCGCAGTGTATTTGGAAAGGTTTAAACTGTTCTATGCTGGTTCAAAAACATTTTGTCTTTCTTTTAACAAACAAAATGCCTGCTTTATCTAAATTTGTTTACAAAAGAAATGGCCTTACAAAATTGTCATTGTCATCCCTTATGTTGCTGGAGTATCAGAGACATTCAGAAGGATTTTTAACAAACGCAACATCCCAGTACATTTCAAACCCAGCAGGACTCTCAGACAGAGGCTGGTCCACCCTAAAGACAAAACACCCATACACAAACAGAGTGGTGTAGTGTCTGCGGTCCAGTGCAGCGAGGACTGTCCAGACCTCTACATTGGAGAAACTAAACAGCCTCTTCACAGACCCTGGCTCAACACAGGAGTCAGCTCTTCAGGACAAGATTCAGCTGTTCACCTCCACCTCACAGATAAGGGACACTCTTTTGAGGACCAAAATGTGCACATTTTGGACCGAGAACACAGATGGTTTGAGAGGAGGGTGAAGGAAGCAATTTATGTAAAAAGGGAAAAGCCGTCTCATAACAGAGGAGGCCTCAGATTTCTTCTTTCAAAAACATATAATGCAACTTTAAAACTGATTCCCAGGCAGTTCTCACACCAGATGGGAACAGAGGGGTCTCATCTGTGAATTAGAGGAACAAAGACCTTAAGAAACCCCTACTGTTAAGGTGTGAGGTGTGACTTGTCAATCTACATATGTGTGTGTGTCTTATCTCACTCAGCCTTATAACCTGAACCCCACACTCTCTGCTCATTGAATTGAGGAGCGAAATGTCTTCTGTTACAAATAAAGTCCAGTTGTTTTTGTATTGAACGCTTTTTGAAGATAATCAATGTAATGACACTTTAATTGGAGATTTGACACTTTATCCATGCTGCTGATTCTTACCCATAAGCTGCTATATTCATCCCCATCTGCTCACAACAAACCCATGTTCAGGCTGCTTTTTAATACGCCATATTATATTATTATTGCTTAGCGTATATCTTAGATTCTTGTATACCGTTTCTTTTTCCATTTTTATAATTTATATTATTGCTATTTTGGGGCAACTAGGACCTTGAGTACACAATTTCGTTCCACCTCATGGATCACATGACGATAAAGAACCTTGAGCTGTCCAAAACAATATCCCAACAATATGTGTAATTTAAGACTCTTGAAAATTCCTGGTAATAAATCTGACAGTACATGTTATAACAACATTATATATTTATATAATAAAACACTCACATGTGAGAGGCATAACTATGGGTTTAGACATGTCCATCTTCAGAGGATCCACCATAGCCTTCTTGGAAAGAACATATTTCTTGCCGTCGCTTACACCTTTACCCTGATTCTTTACCTTCTGCCCATTCCTTCCAGGGTTTGCTTTGGTGTTTGGTCCTGGTTCTGTTGGGACTCTTGCAGTTTTGTCCCTGGACTCAGCGTGTGACTGGACAGCAGGCTCACTGTGTGCTGATGGGGTGACCGCCATGTTTGCAGGTGTCTCAGCTGCCTGTGCTCTTGTTGGGCTTGTGGTTTCAGCAGCAGTATTTGACTTGTTCTTCGTCTCTTGTGCATGTGGTTCACTGAGCACCGGCTGAGCCTCAGCTTCAGGAAGGTTTTCTGTGGTGGATGTGGTCGCAGGGCAGGAGTCGGTGTGTTCCTGGGGTGCACTCTTCATGGCTGTCTGCTTCAGCTCCTCAAATCAAACAGTCTTTTTCACACAAACACATAAGACTCAGTTACTCGGGCGCATCATTTTTCGTCTTCATGCGAATAACTGCTATATTTAGTTTGCATCCATTAGTCAAATTAAAAACAGTAAATAGAAATCAAGTCACAAAAGGACAGCTGGGACATTCTGGGCTTAAACATTTGAATTACAATAGCTTAAGGATGGACGATGGAGGGCAGCTGCTGAAGGCCGTTTCACCATTAAAAGATGTTTGAACTTCGTGCTACAGCCATTTGATCACGTTTATTGTTGTCCTATAAAATCTATCCGGAATAGCATCATATTGTACATAACAATAGCCCGGTTAGCCTAGTTCAATCAGGATGCAAATCTCCGTATTCCTGGTCTGTTGTGGCGCTAAAAACGCCAAATATCTTTTCAATTCTCTTTTTTTCTGCTTCATAATAAAACACGAGAAGCCTTTGACCAAGTGGGAGGATAAGTTACCTGCTTTGACTCGTCCGCCGCCCAAAACATCTCCGCGTCCCGTTTCACAAAGCCGTCAGAGAAGCGGCGGACTCCGTGACGTCACGTCAGAACGGGACGCGCACGGGCATCATGGGATTTGTGGTTTTTCTGCTCTGATAACACAAGCTACCAGTTTATATTAAGACGCAAATGGAAGTTTCTATTCTAGGATGTATGAAAATGTATTTCTCAAAAGCAAAATTAAAACAACCTTAAAACTATAATAAGTTGACACAATGTTACAATATTATGTGCAAGATATTACCTTTACCTGTGAAATCAGTTATTTCTCTCACCACCTGTGCTTTGTACAATTTAACTAAAGATATATTGCATTTGTTTACTGTATTATTGTTGGTGCACCATAGACTTGCTAAGGAATGAAATCTAAATGTGTGAATTACACAATTATGTTATGTCTTTAGTTCATTTTAACCATCAAAGTAAGCAAGTTTTGTGTTATAGCAACAAGTCAAATCAACTAAACACTGCTAGTTAAATCCTTCTTAACCTTTCCTTTAACTGATTAGGATTGTCCCTTGGTGCTTTGCAAGTACAAAAAGAACAGACGGTACGAAGACAATGCTGCACTCTGGCACTTTACCAAGGCAGAGGACACGATTGTTAAAGGACTTTCAGCTATACTGCTGTTTTTGGGAGAAGTTTCTCTCCATTGCTATTCAATGTTTTGGTAAGACAAAACTTTAAATGATTACCTTTCACATTTAAACAAAAACTAGTAAAGCAGTTGACATTAAATAAGGTAAATCTCCCATTTCATTTCTTAGGGTGCATGTTTGCTAATTTTTCTGTACATTAAATAAGTTTTCTTATCCATTGTACCTCAAGACATTTTTCTTATATTATAGCAGTTTTAAATAGACTCAGTACAAAAAGACACAAATCAATGGGAAATAGATTTATTCAGTTACACAAGAATGATGCATCATTTGGCTTCTGCTTTTCCTCTAATTTTTCTATAAGACCAAAAATTAATTCATAAAAAAATGAATAACAGTGCATCCCCTCACAGCTGTAACGAACTACTGAGGCAGAGTTTATGAATTCTCAATGTCAGAAATCTTAACTATCAGTGTTTTTAGTATGGTGCAACTATAAAAACAGCAACATTTAATGAAAAAAAAGTAAAAATCGACAGATTTAAAAAAAAAAAAAAAAGCCTTGTTGAAAGGATTCTATGGTTTTATCCCTCAGGGTTATGTTGAGGTATAGGCACCTCCCCTGTTGCATGTTTTATATAATGCAAGTGGAGTTTTTCCATTTCATCAAAGCCCATATCACATTCAATGCACTCCCATTCCCAGTACTTGTGCTCTCTGTGCACGTTTAGCTCATTCTTGCCCAGATCCTGCTCTACTGGGGGCTGTGTGGGATCGTTGGGATGTTTGGGAAACTTTAAGCAATGCATGGGCTCTCCGCAGTCAGACTCCTCAGAGTTTTCAGGATCTCCACCTTCAGTGACCTCCCTCGTTTGCAGCTCTTTTGCATTTGCATTCATCTCGGTTTCATCCTTCACGCCTGTAAGGCATTGCGTGTTGTTAAACCCTTGGGCCTCCACAAATAAAGTAGAGGGTCTAAGAGGCTTAAAATGGCTCTTTGAATACCTGTAATGATGCATTTGGTGTGCAGATAATTGCTTACTTTGAAGGAAAGTCTTCCCACAGAATCGGCAGGGATACGTTCTGAAGCTAAAGTTCGGTTGACTTGTGACCTCTTTGGCCTTTTGGGAGCTCTTGTCATCAGTGTTGTGGACGTTCTGCTTCAAGCTGTGACTCTGCAGGTGTCGGTCTAGTGACGCTTCATCCAAGAAGCCTCGAGCACAACTCAAACACCAAAAGCGCCTCAGCTTATGGAGCTCAGTGTGAGACGTCCATGAACTTACATTTAAGAAAGATTTGTTACACTGATCACACTTGAGCGGAGATGATTGAATGCATTTGCGTGACCTGTGACCCCTCAAATGACTGATGAGTCGTGTCCGTCTGATGAAGGACATCCCACAATCTGGACACTCGTACTTTCGCAAACTGGACGCACTTTCAGACCATCTGCTGGCACTTTCTTTCTGCGGTTTGGTTTGGTTTGCTTTAGTTAAGAACGTCTCTTTGTGCAGATTTTGGTGTTTTTTGTAGGACTCCAGGTATGAGTAAACCTTCCCACAAACAAGGCAGCTGTAACCCTTTTGTGGCATGTTCTGCGTTGAGGCTGCTGTTGCATCTTGCGTTACCTCTGGAGGCTGCGTTTGTGATGAACTGCTCGCATCATCCTCATCTGCACCACTGCTCATGTCCTCATCTCTGTCTTCTCTGGTCTCCTGATCTGCTGCAGGAGTCCAGCTGTCTTCCAGCTGAGCTTCCTCCTCTTCCAGGGCATGTTGATGCAGGTGAGTCAGGTAGGAATCAGAGTGTGTAAACTTCAATCCACAGTCCTTACATGTAATGTTGGACTTTTTGGCTACAAAAAAAAGAGAGAATTTTAAATAAGCATTTTATACAAAACCATGGCAGCCTGTTGAATGTGTTTAAATATATGAGCATTTAAAAGAACTTTTACATTTCTTTTCTATGATTTTATATCTGGTTCAGTACTTGTAAATTAAAATAGAAGAAACGTGCCGATTGTTAGCAAAGGTATTTCAACACAAAACTAAATATTAATAAAACACCTATTTACATCTTCAGCACTACAAAGACAATGATTTACGAACATACGATCCATTTTCCTTTTTTATGCTCCAATAAAACAAAATGTAAACAAAAGTGAAAACAAGCCTTTTTTTTAACCTCTTCCTGAATAATTCATAAAAATGTTACCATTCAGAGTAAAATTCAGTGCAAAGTTTACTTTAGGACTTGTATTTCATATCAGTGTTTGCAACAAATGATAAATGGTCTGTACTTAAAAAAAACTTTAAACTTAGTGAGGGGCTTGATTTAGCATTCACAAATGGCTGCCAGGCAAGGTGTTGTTTGTAGTTTTCATCTTTAATATACCTTTTTTTTTTTAACTCAGCATTTTTTAGATTTTTTTTTGGTCAAAAGGCTGACTTTTTTTCTTTTATAATAGAACAAAGAAATAAACTCTGGAAATATATATATATTTTTAATACCCCACCAGTCCTGGACAAAACTAAAAGCTAATTTTATACATTTGAAGACTGTAAGAACAATGCATTTTACCCTTAAAAAAAAAAAAAAAAAAGCACATCCACATCACAAGAATAATCTGCATTAAAATAACTTCCAGTCTGTTGAAAAATCAACTGTTTTCACCATTTTGTTGTAAAAGAAAACAAATATCTGCAAATGAAATGCTAAAAATGTCCAACTTAACTTTGCAGACTCAAGTCCGGATTATTTTATCGACACTTTCATTAGTTGGACACGAAGTTTGCATCTATTTTACAGACATGCACACGGTTCCATACAGCACTAACGATTAACATGAAGACCACTTGAACTGCTATGTTCTGATGAAACCCTAAAATATTGACATATAATTCTTAAAAAAAATAGATAAACAGATTGGCAGCACGGTGGCGCAGTTGATAGAGTTGCCACCTCTCAGCCAGGTCGCCGGATCAAATCCCAGCCAGGGGGCTTTTCTGAGTGGAGTTTGCATGTTCTCTTCTGCATGTGTGGGTTTTCTCCAGGTACTCCAGTTTCCTCCCACATACAAAAAACATGCATGTTAGATTTATTGCTAACTCTAAATTATCACTAGGTGTGAGTGAGAGAATGAATGGTTTTGTCTCTCTGTGTCCCTGTGATGGACTGGAGATCTGTCCAGGGTGTCGCCCTGCCTCTTGCATAGTGATAGCTGGATATGGGCACCAGTGACCCCCGCGACCCAAACAGGAACAAGCGGGTAAAGGTAACGGATGTATATGGATAAACAGATTGGAAAAAAACCTAAACCATATTTTTATCAAATTGAAACTGAATTAATCACACAACTCATAAAATACTTTTAAAAGACATTTATCTTCTTTCTTTCTCAAACAAGTACTGTAGTCAAATAACACATTGGTCAGCAAGAGGAAAAACAACCAAGAAGTCAAATATTTTCTTTTAATCACTATCCTACAAAAACAAACACTAATTTAGCCTAGTAGTCCTTCCACAACAAAAATATACACATAGCACTATAAAAACATATAAAGGGAGCTTATTACGGTAATCACCTAATGCTGAAAGTAATTTACAGAACATAAAGCTACTTGATTGTTAAGTTGGTTTGAAAGTTAATAACCACAGAGTTCAATACTGGCAACAAAGTAGATGATTCAGTTTCATTTAACTTTCTTTGAAATATGTACAGCAGCACAGCTTCTTTAAGGAAATTCTTCAGAGTTTAAACAAATAACAGCAACAAAACTTGTACATAAAATGGGAGTAAATTCATTTTTCATGGCTTTATAAATTCATGTATTTCAGTGCAACAGCACTTCTGATTTCAGTTAATTAGAACTGACATACCAGTGCATTGGATCTTTTTAAAATATCTAAAAATAACTAACACTTTAATATGTGATTGCCAGCAGGTCTGAAAAGATTGAGCTGACATTTGTCTATCCAAGGCGTTCCCAACACTGGTCCTTGTGGAACACCATCCTGCATGTTTTAGTCGTTTCTCTGCTCCGACACACCTGATTTTAATTAATAGGGAATCAACAGGCTTCTGCAGAGCATGAAGTAATTAAACCACTGAATCAGGTGTTGGAGCAGGGAAATAACTAAAACATACAGGATGGTGTTCCTCAAGGACCAGAGTTGGGAATCACAGGCCAAAGCAAATACAAATCAAATGTTGGCTCAGAGCTTTACACTGATGAAAAAAACACAAGTCAGTGGAAGAAGCTATAAGTTCACATTTAAAGAGCTACTGTTCCAGTGTAAAGGGAAGCCTGAGAAAACAAAAACAACTACATTTTATACTTAAACTTAACACATTTTGAAGAAATAAACCAAAACTCACAAACTACTGTGTCACTGTATGAGCTTTAACACTCCATGGCGCATGCTCTGTACAAAGATGGTGAGAAACTTTTTTTTGGGGGGATGGGGGTCAAAACCTTTTCCTACATTCAAAGCAAGTTAAGGTAACCAGCGTCTCCTAATGAGACAGCAGCAAAGGTGTCACTGTCCTGTGTGACCACTCGTACATTCCTGGGCATGATCAATAAGGTCTTTAACGTGACTGAAAGTTTCGGAGCACACCAGGCAGCGGTACAAGTTGTCAAACTGCAGACATTCCTGTTTTTCTAAACTGTTTTGTGAAAGAACGACTTTGCCACGACGCGGGAGCTTTCGCTCACTTTGCGACCAGGAGGTCAGGTTAAGAGGACGATGGTTGTTGATATGAAGTGGGAAAGACTTGTCGGCATCAGGGAAGTCGGGTTTCAGAGAATTTGAGGTCACAGCCGCGTTGAGCCTGAAGCGCACCTCGCTGGGGAGACGGCAGCGCACCTCATCGTGCCAGGCGAGGTGCTGCTGCAGCTGATTCTCTGTCCAAAACCCATGGCAGCACAGAGCGCAGCAGTGAGGCCGACTCTTTGCCTTGTTTTTATGAGCCCCTAACTGCTCCTCTGTTTGGAAGGTGTTCCCACACTTATCGCACTTAAACAGACATTTGACTGTGTGCTCCGACAGATGGCTGAGAGCTGGAGGAACCTCAGCTGTGGCTTCAGGAATTTCTATGTCCACTTTAGACTCTTGCTTTTTAGCTAAACAATCTTTCTTATGGCCAAGGAGGGAAGCAGCAGTGCCGCACCGTTCCCCACAGTCCAGACAGGAAATAAGCTTTACAGATAGAGGATCCAGTCTGAGTTTCTTTCTTCCTCTGCCAACAGTGCCACTCTTAATCATCCCTAAATCGACCGCCTTATCGACTTTGCCGTTTGATTTGGAGCATGTCGCTTTTGCACTGAGCTTATTTTTGCACTTTTTTCTCTTTGAGTGAGTCTGCCATTCATGGACACGCAGACCTCTTTCATTAGCAAAATACAAGAAGCAGAGGGAACACTGGTGAGGTTTTGGCTTCACAGCTAATGGCAAGGTCTCACTCCCAGTGGTGTTAGCATCAGCCTGTTCTGGGATGCCATTTAAGGGCTCTCCCTGAAGTTCTGCCACTTTCAAAATTTTACACCACTTGTTCTCACGACCTAAAACCTGATCTAGTGTGTCGTTTGTATTGGTAGTTGTGTTTAAATCTGGTTCTGCTTTGGTTTCACACTGAGGATTAAAGACCTGGTCTTGCTGGAAAACACGATGGTTGAAAAACTGTTTCTCACATTTCTCGTACTGAAAAGGTTCGCCCTCTGTTTTGAGGCCGACAGATTTGAAATCATCTTCTTCATGTGAAGTTTGTGAACACTTCTTTTCTTTGTGCCATCGTTTGTGGGAGCCAAGGGCTGACTTAGTCATGAAATGTCTTCCACAATCTAAGCAGTGAATTAAACCTGGCTCCTCTTTGTGTGGCGTCTCAAACATTAGAGGTTGACAATTATCAGACTTTAACAGTGACACGTCTTCAACCCGAGTTCTTTTATGAACATTCAAAGCTCCCATCAGTGAAACATTTTTATCACGTGTGTCACTGTTGTATTTCAACTGGGTTGAACCTGGATTTTCTACATTACTCCCATCTGTGTGCATTTCAGTCTGTTGAGCACCAATGTCCCCATTCTTTACGTCACTATGTTCCTTAACTTGTTTAGAGTACTCCTGCGTGTTTGGATCAGAGCACATATTTACAGCATCATTATTTGAAGGTTCAGTTTTCACGATTTCCCATTTGCTTTTAATGCAAACTTTTCTATGAGCCCTTAAAGACGCCTTTTTGTTAAAATGTGCAAGGCATGTCACACACTGCAGATTTTTTACTTTCCCCATGGACTGTGGGGATGATGGAGAGTTCCCAGACTCGTAACCATGGCTCTTCATGTGAAACTGCAGTGCTTTGGCCCGCGAAAACAGCTTCCCACAGTCAGGACAGCTGTACGTGTTCTTCTGTAACTGATCCACTTGATACTGAAAAGACTTGATGGGCGGTGGGAGTAACTGATCACTGTGGACGACCTCGTGTCTGAGGAGGCTGGAAAAAAGGCGGAATGACCGGTTGCAGATTTTACATTTGTGATTTCCATTTTCATGCCTGCGCATGTGCAGCGCCATGATGCGTTTGTGGCGGAACTTCCTGCCACAAATAGGACATGCCACTTTAATCACAGAGCGTGAGCGTCCGTTTACAGAGTGCAAAGTTCCCAAGAGACCTTTTCTGAGCCTCAAATCGGTGCACTCCATCTGATTTTGTTTGTGGTGTGAGAAAGCACCTAAAGACCAAAAACCTTTTCCGCACTGTTCACAATGATAGATCTTTGGGCCTAGCAGAGTTTTCTTTGGATTGTATTCTTTCTTACTGCCGGAAATAGTTTCCCTCTTTTGTGCAGAGCAGGTTTTCATGTGGTTAAACAAACTGGATGCATGCAGATAAGACGACATACAATCTGGGCACTGGAATTGCTTTCGTGTAGGATGATGCAACTGGTGAGAGACTAAAGCAGACAAACAAGAGAAAATGTCACCACACTCATTGCAGGTAAAAGTTTTCTTTACCAACCCCTCAGCTTGATTCAACAAACCATTGCTTGAAGTTTGAGCATTGTAGGATTGTATGTGATTAAACTGTGCTTCATAGTTACTGGTTTCACATGCCATTGACTGACCTTGATGCTGCTGTCTTCTCTTACGGATTCCGTGCCACATTCTGTGAATGCGCAGCGATGAGGGGTTTGTAAACCAGCGGTAACAGTCTGGACAATTGAATTTTAGCTCCGCAGTTTGACTCTTGGCTCCACTCTCCATCAGCGTGCACTGCCCATTGGTTTGATCAAAGTCAACCTGAACTATTTTAAAGTTGGACTTTGACACAAGGCTGCCAGGGGAAAGTTCAGAGTCAGCATCGTCTCGTATATCCTGATCCGATTCACACAGCAGCTCAAGATCGGGATTTGGGTCTTCGAGTGACGCCTCATCTTCAGACTCACTGTCACTAACTACTTGTACATTAAAGTCCCCAGGTTCATAGCTCTCCAGATCTTCATCAGTCTCAATTGTGTGAGATTCGTCCACTTTACAAGTTGCAGGGATTTTTTCTGGTTGCGCCTTTCCTTCCAGAGAAGCACAAGAGGGCTCAGACTTTTTCCAACAACCTTTGTTCATCTTGTCTTGATGTAGCAAAAACTGAGTCAGACCCCCCGGCTCTGTTTCGCGAGTAAGAGCCCCCAGCTCTTTTTCTTGAGTCAGATCCCCCAGCTTTGTTTCCTGAGTCAAAGCCCCCACCTCTCTTTCTTGAATAAGAGCCACCTGCTCTGTGTTTCTGAAAACCGTGTGCTGGAGCTGATGGGACTGAAGTGCTGAAGCCCTGGAAAACTTCAGTCCACAGTCTTTACATTCAAATGCCTTCTTCTGAACTTGACACACTTGATGGAGAAAAGACTTGGCTGGGGTCTCATCACTGTGTGCCATGCGCTGATGCCTGTTGTAGAACATCAGAGTCTTGAATACTTTTCCACATTCCTCACACTGGAAACTTTCTGTTGGCGTATTGGTGGGATTATGGTGCCATCTCTGATGGCTAGAGAGGGCACGCTGATTACTGAAAGCCTTATTGCACTCAGCACAGTAGAATTCACTGCTGATCTTCTTTGGTTTTTCTTTATCTTCTTCTAGAGTGCACTGGCTGTTGCGGCTGAATCGCTGGTGTGTTTTTAGTCGTGACTTGGCAGAAAAGGCCTTACCACACAAACACTCAAACTGCTTTTCAGAAGCATTTTTTGTATTATCATTGCGTTTTATTTCCCCTCCGGTCTCTCCAGTGTCTCCAGAGCTCCTACTTTTTGACTTTACCAGTTTTTCTTCATGACAGCGTCTGTGGGCATCGAGAGCCGAAGCTCGGGAGTAATTTCTCCCACAAGACTCGCACTGAAAAGATTTCTTCTTTAAATGCTCCAGGTCATTAAAAACTGATGCAGAAGGTGATCTGTGTGAGCGCAGATGGTTAAGAAAGTGTCCAATCACAGCATAGGATTTCCCACAATCTGGGCAAACACAGGTGTGTTGCTTTGTCAGTCCAGGGTTATTTACAAAATCAGACTCCTTTAGAGAGGTCTGATTATGATTCTTCATATGCGAGCGCAGTTCATTTATATCGGCAAATGAATGTGAACAAAAGGTACAAAAATAAGGTGCTTCATTGTCCTTTTCTGCGTCAGACTGCTTGTTTAAATACGTGTTTTGCTGAGGGTGTAGATGGCGATGCTCCAAGAAGGCTGCCTCGTCGCTGAAGCCTGCTCCACAATCTTGACAGCAGAAAACCCCAACCCCTAGGGAAAAAAACGGGACAATAGGAGGTCAAAGAGACTCCTGTTTCAAAAAAAAGGAAAAAAAAAGGGAAGTTAAAATAACCTCAAAACACAAGTTTAAACATGTCTTTATTTTAAACAAATTAGCTTTCCAAAAATGATTACAACTGATTACATTGAATAAAAAATAGAAAATTACAACTAGTAAAAGAAAAAAAAACACAAAAACAAAACAAAAATGTACAACTGAAGGACTAAAGAAAAACTTACTATTTTACAATTAATACATCTACATTACTGCTTTTAAAAAACTTGTTTGAAATGGGCAAATATTGAAAAGTCACAAACAATCTGAATAATGTAGCAATTAATTATAAGATTTGTGTAAACAACAAATTGAGTTTCTATAATACAAATGTAATCCTGCTGTTACACCAATCCATCTGGGTTTTTATTTTATTTATTTTTTTACCTGTTTTTCTGTCCCAGATCAAGTGGAGCTACTGCTCATCTCCAGCAGCCAAGGTACAATGAACCTAACTAGCATGTTTTTGGTCAGTGGGAGGAAACCAGAGAACATGCAAACTCCACACAGAAAGACCCCAAGCTGGAGGTGAACCTTTTTCCAACAACCTATTGCCCCTTTTCCACCGTCACGGCGCGGGTCGGATATTTCCGGCTTGAAGCGCGTTTGAGGTCTTTCCACTGTTCCTGTGACCGGCTCGCCACGCTAAATTCTGGCCCGGCTTCTCAAGGGTTCCGAGCGAGCCGCGCCGTGACGTCAGAAACACTGTCGGTCACTGATTGGTCGGGGGGAGGAGTCTGTGGAGTCTTTCCAAACAACCCGATCCACCATTTTTTTCTCTACCGCTTGCCATTAGCGATAACACGAGGAGCATATCTTTTAGTATTTTGAAGCTATACAACAACAATAATATCAAAGCCGTGGTCAAATGCAGAAGTGCAGGTGTTGTTCTGCTTGGTGGCCGACGAAAAAAGTCAAAGCGAGCTAGATGGAGGATTGGAGGGTGGTTTGGACACGACTACTGCTCTACTTGAACCATTTATAGAAGATGGTGAGTGTTTTCTAACTTTAAACATATTTTAAATTACTCATCCCATCGGTTCTGAACATATTTTTAACTAACAAAAGAGGCTGACGCCATAATAGTACAACGTCGGTGCTACGATGCAAAGCTAATTTGCATAAATGCTAACTGTCCTCCGGTCCCGTTTCTCACTGTATTTTATCCAGAACGTATTTCAGCGCGTGATGGTTCATCTCTAAACTCCACATTAAACCCTCCAAGCCTCCCGGCTCCTGCTCCATCAGAGGAGTCTGCACCTGACAGGTCTCCATCACAGCCCAGCTGCACCTCACAGAGCAGCACAACGCTGCAGCTTCTGTGCTCGGTAAGAACAGATGCAACTGTTCCACATCACTTTATTTGTGCCGATAAGGACTTGATTTATTTTATTTTTAAAGTAAAAAACTAAAATGTTGAATAAATACTGAATTGGGATGAAATTATGTACACAGGGTCCCAGTTACACACAACAAAATGTAAAATAAAAACAGTAATAAGATCTAAGATATGAATTAAGAAAAATATCAACTAAAAAACATCTACTAATAAAACACTAAGCACTAATAGCAGTAAACAATCAAAACAATACGTCTCAAACAGCAACATGAACTTGAGTTTGTGCAGCCTCATGAATATATAACACTGTGAAGAATCACATCATGTAGCTGCTGATCAGTTTCATGTTGCTGCTGATCAGTTTCATGTTGCTGCTGATCTGTTTCATGTTGCTGCTGATCTGTTTCATGTTGCTGCTGATCTGTTTCATGTTGCTGTGTTCATTCGTGCTCATCTGTTCACACAGACTCATGTCCGTGCTGCTGTTCTGCGTATTGTGTTTAATGTTTTTATGCTATTAGAGCTTATCATATTTTTAGTTGATGTTTTTATTAGTTCATATCTTAGATCTTATTACTGTTTTTCTTTTATATTTTATTGTTGGATGTAACTGGGACCCTGTGAACATAATTTTGATCATCCACCACATGGACCACATGTGGTGCGAATGACAAAGAATATCTGCATCTGTATAATACTTTCTGATTCATATATCCATTATTATCATTTTCATTATTTTTAAATCAATTTATTTTTCATTTTCTTATTTGATCAGTTTATTATTATTAATATATCTATTATAGCTGTTAGCTGCACCTTTCTTTGTTTCATGCATTTATTCAAAAACAGTATGTAGCTTGAATTAACCACTTTTTCTTCTTTCTAGTGAAGAGAAAGAGAAAAGAGTCCAGTAAAGAAAAGTCTTATTTCATCACTGAATGAACATGAAGAACTGAAGCGGACACAGCAGGAACAACACTTGTGTCTTCTTCTGGATGAAGCCCGTGAGACAAGGGACAGACACAATCATTAGTTGGACGCAGTAGTTTTTATTTTTGTACATTTTTCACTTCTTACTTTTCATATTAAACAATTTTTTTCTTAAGTGGTGTCCTTGAACATTAAATTTCCTAAACAAATTTTACAATGTTAAGTGCAGATAGTGTTTGTTTAAATTCATACTGGAAGTTGAGAAAAATTTCCAATTGCATTTGATCTTTAATGAATCCTAAGAAAAGATTACTAGAATCTGCTCAACTGTTATTATGTTATACTTTTTTGGTTCTAGGATGAAGTGACACAAAAACAGTCTAAAATTCAGAAAGGACAGTTATCAATTATCAGTCATCAGTTATCTTTTAGCAGTTATCGTTTATCGTCCGTACAACTGTGGCCCGAGAGATTCAGCTGAAAGTCCTGGTGCACCTTTTATTTGAACCTGCAGAGATTTGAACAGCTGATCTGAAGCAAACAGGCAGGAGTTCACCTGAACTGACCACTCCTGATGTTTGATGGTCTCCTCCTTCGCCATCCGTCCGTCCGTCCATCCATCCATCCATCCATCCATCCATCCATCCATCCATCCTCTTCTGCTTCAGGGTTGTGGGAGCAGCATCTTCACCAGGGAGGCACAGACATCAACAGCCACCTCTTCAACTCTTCTAGGACCCCATGGTGTTCACAAACCAACTGACTATTTATTAATTAATATCCTGATGCTGCTCAATAATCCAGGTAGAAAAATCTAAAAAGTTAAGTCTGGTCCTCTGGACATTCACAAAACAAACAATACAGTTTATAATAAATAAACTAAATGTTTTTTGTTAGTTTTGTTTTTTGAATGTCCAGAGGACCAGACTTTTTTAGATTAATAAGTAATAAATTTATGTTTTAATTTAATGAAAGACAAATCTTTAAAATTCAAGGACAAAATTTAATCTAATTGTTTTCAAGTCTGTATCTTATTGTAAAATCAGTTTCAAAGATTACAGCACAGTGTGATGTTTTGCAATTTTAACATGAACCTTGTGCATATCTGTAAATAATAAAAGTGAAGATATTTTTAATACATCTTTATTGTAAAAATCTATACTAAAATGAAAAACACATGGGTTTAAAGCAGCAGGGAAGGCAGTAAGGTAGGATTATGAATCAGGTTTAAAAGTTACAGCTCATGAGGTACTCCATTAGAGCATGACATCTTTTCCACAACAACATGTGACAAAACCTTCAGGGTGTTCTTCTTCTAATACGTTTAGTGGTGGCTAGTAAGTAGCTTAAGGGAGCACTACCGCCACCAGGTGGTAAGACGAGTTGGATTCTAGTCCCCGCCTACAGAGCCGGTCCAGAAATGTACATGGAAACACAACAGACCCGAACCGATCTGAACCAACCCGAACTGATCTGATCCGCTCTGTGACGGTGGAAAAGGGGCATATGTCAGGAAGAGGGCCACCTGCATCATGAAAGACCCCACTCACCCAGCACACACACTTTTTGCCCCGCTCCCCACAGGAAGGAGATTAAGGAGCATTAAGTGTGAGAAGGGGGTCTCTGCAGACCAAAAGTGGGCGTTTCTGGCGAATAGGCGTTTGTCGGCGGCGAACACTGATTGGCTGTGGGTAACCCTCAAAGTCACGAGTCATTGATGAGGTAACGTTTCTTTGCGATATTTGACAAAGAAATATGGTTTATTGTACTTATAAAGTATGTTATGTTTTCACTTATGCATTTTATTGAAGTACGTTTATTGTAGGTCACGATAGTTTCGACCGTTCTCTCGTTGTTGTCGTAACGCACTGAGGTAACGTGAGCCTCCACTCGGCTCCTTTTCAAAATAAAAGCTGAAAATAAAAGTTCTTAATACTTGAAAAATAAATATTTAAAAGCTGTGTATAACTGAAAAATATGAAAAAAATAAATAAATAAAAGTTGTTATTAGCTGAAAAATAAATAAATAAAAGCTGTTAATTATATCTATGTCTTTCTGCCATGTCAGGGACCTCTCTCACTTCAGACTGACTCTAGAAGACCCCAAGATGTTGCCCAACAATGTTGACCAACATCTGATGTTGACTTTCATTACTCAATAATGAGTAATAACTTATTCAATAAAAAGTCTGTAATTTGTCAATAATAGTCAATAATTCATTCAAGAATAGATTATGGGTGTTTGGTATGGCTCAGTGGCTAAAATGGGTTGGATGTTAGAGAAATTACTTAATTTTCAATTACCTGAATGCACAAATTCCTTCATTTATAGTTAAACTTTAGGAAATCAACTTTTTTTTTCTTGTGAAAAAAATATCAAAATTAACTTTAAAATCCAATCCAGGATTAAGTAACAACTAGCAACACCGTAACTGTACTATGTTCTGTGTTTCCAACAGATGCTATGATGACTTCTAAAAATGGATGTCCCAATAAACACAATAAAAAAAATTCAATGATGCATCAAATGTTGTCTGAGTATGTTTTAAGGTAATAACAAATGTGAAATCTGGAAAACAAAGAGAATTCCTGAATCTGTCTTGTGTGCTTTGATGTGTACATAAGTTTATTGGAGGTCCTGAAACAACTTTTCTGAGAACTCAAAGATTTTTATTGTACCTTTGGCCAAGATGTC